GAGGGCTGAGGGAACACAGGACTAGGCCTGGAGGGACCCCACCAGTCATACCAGGTGCTGGCCTGGACAGGCTGACCACTCTGCTCGCCAAGAGGCCTGGCACGAGTCTGCGGTCTGGGCCTCCGTTTCCCACCCGTAAGTGAGGTAAGGCCAAGGAGCATTATAAGAGGCAAGGGTCCTTGTCCTACCCGTGCAGAATCCACTCAGCTGGTCTGCAGGGCCTTTAGGCCCAGCGTGGCCACAGCCTGGGGCAGGGAAGCCCACCAGCTCTACCCACTGGCTCCAGGCTGGACTCTGCCAGTGGGAAAGGCGGGAGGGAGGAGAGAAGCCTGATGGTTCCTGGCCAGGCCAACAGTGAGCAGCCTGGGCCAGAGGAGTCCCAAGGGGAGGGGCGCTGCCTTTGGAAAGAGCCTGAGGTGCCCCGGGCCCTTCCAGTGTTGAAGGGGGGCAGACTGTGGCTTGCGGGCCGCACCACTCTGAGCAAAGGCTCAGACCCTGAAAATCCAGCAGCATGGGAGGAGAGCCTGCCGCGTGTGAAAACAGCACCTGGACTGGGCAGCACGGGTGCCGCACCACAGCCATCTCCACGGGGGCTAGAATGTGGGTCTGCACTCCCACCCAGCTCTGCTCTGTCAGCCCCAAGCACTTCACGCTCTTGCCTGGGTGTTGGGGTGGCCCAGAGCTCACCTTGGGTCTGTCCCTGATGGAGCTCGCAGCAGGCACCGAGCTAGGCGTGCAGCGCCAGAGCTTAGAGGATGAGGAGAGAGAGAGAGTGCAAGCCTCAGAGGAGCAGACTGAGCTCCCTGCCCCAGGGCTATGCCATCCCCAAGCCAGGATGGAGGAGGCATCTGTGCCAGGCTGCATCTGCAGCTTCCCATGACCCTACCACCATCCTCTGAACATCACATCCTCCTGACCCTGGTGTGGCAGCTGCCGGTGGCCTGGTGGGGCGGTGGGTGCACTCCTGCCCTGGTGCCCTGGGAGCCATCACCCTGGCTGCCACCGAAGTGTCCCTTCCAAGGCACTTTGCCAGATCAGCCAGCCTTCCTCCTCCCTGGGCTGTGGGTACCCTGCCAGGCTTGAGGGTGAAGCTGGCTGAGCTTGGAGGACAGACCTGGGCCACAGGGACCCGCAGGCCCCGGGGAGGTGCTGAGGGATGAGGGGCCCTGCCTGGGCCACAGCAGGGAGCTGGCCATCTGAGGGTGGCTGGGGTGGGTGGCAGTGGCACTTGCCCCTGTGGAAAGCCCTTGGGAAGGGGCTCTGGCCACATTTGGTGTGGGCTGGAAGTCTGCGCCCCAGGGCCCCTGAGCTGCTTGTCCTCTGGGAAGGAGCCTGGGTCCCCTTCAGGGCTGGCGGCCGGGGTTAGGGTTAGGGTTAGGGTAAGGGTTACAGCAGGTACCCGCCGGTGGCAGTGGCTGGGTCGTGCTCCTGGTGTGGAGCCTGGATGGCACCCAGCCCCCGGGTGGAGGGGCTGTGCTGCCGCAGCGGGTCGGGCCCTCCTCCCACCAGGGTCTGCGTGGAGGCATGGCCAGGGTGGGGCTGGCTGGAGGCCCAGACCTGCACCGTGTCCCGGTCACCCCGGCCCCACAGTGCCGCCCCACCTTGCCTGCTTGTCCTCGAGGTGGCCCCATCTGCCCACTGCCCACTGTGGGAAATTCTAAACCTGTTGCTGTTTTCCCAATGTTATCTGCCGCTCTGTGCGTGGAGCCCAGGATGTCCCTCCTGGTTGCGCCCGTCCACCGTGCCCTCGTCCCCACCTCTGCCCTGCCCTGTCCTTCCTCCCCCAGCTAAGGAGAGTGGGTGCCCAGATGGTGATGGCAGCCATCCCGGCACAAGGCTGTGCTCCCGACCCCCAGCCCGGTCTGGCCACTCCACACCAGCACTGGATGGGCCCCTGCTGTCCCCATTTTCCACGAGGAACCCCGGTGTGGGGAGGAGCAGCTGCCCTGGCCCTGCCCGTGCTTTCGCACCCTGACCCAGGAGGGTTTCCTACCCTGCGCCCTCCTCCAGGGAGCCCCAAGGGTGCCCCCCTCACCCAAGGGGAAGATGTTGCTCACTAGGCCTGGCACACTGGGGCCTGGGCAAGGCCGATGAGAGGGTGAGCCAGTGAAGGAGGCCCTGGGGTGCCAGTGGACACATGGGGAGAAAACAGGTGGGGTCAGGCTGCTGCTGCCCCATGTACTGCTTGCAGGTGAGCGGGAGGGACTCCTGGAGGGGCCACAGAGAGAGACCCTGTGCTGGGCAGAGCTGGGGACCTGCGCCCAGACCCCTCGTCCCTTAGCCACAGGTCCCGCAGGGCAGCATTGGCCCCAGAGCCAGCCTGGCCGGGAGGGGTAGGGACGGGACAGGACTCAGAGGGAGCAGCGGGAGGAGGCTGCCGCGCAGAGCTGTCTCCGTAATTCAGTTTTAAAGCATGAAAAAAGGGAGTTGATGAAATTCCGCTATCAGCGCCGAGCCAATATGCAAACTATCTCACCCCCAATCAAATAGCTATTACGTTTTCATTTCCATCCCGGCGTCCGGCTTAATGAGCAGGAGACGGATGGGCGCGCGGCGTCTGCTCGATGTGATAACCGCGGGGCTCCGGGCACCGTGGGGGCCGTGCCCAGCGATGCCCCTGCTGCGGGTGACGCCGAGGTGCCTGTGGACGGCCACGGGGCCATGGCGGGAGCGTGTCTTCAGGCACCGACCTGTCCCGCCTCAGCTCCAGGGAGAGACAGACCAGCCCATTGGGAGTGTGGGGACAGCGTGCGTCCGGGTGGGTGGGGGGTTGCCCCGAGAAGCAGGGTCGGCCGGACTACTTTGACAGGCCTCAGTTTATTCAGTGGATGCGACTTGGGTCCCCTCTGGGAGCTGGATGTCCCCTGGGCGGTGAGATTCGGGTTGCGACTGGCCTGAGAGTCCAGCTCCACATACATCCCACTACCCCATCTGCTGAGTCATCACTTGGTGCTGACCCTGTGCCTCAGTTTCCCTATTTGGGTGGAGCCTGGGAAAGGACCTCACAGGGCTGTGTGAGCGGGGGGTAAGGTGAGGATGTTTTGAGGTGCAGAGCCAGGCGGTGCGCCCTCCCCAGCCCCTACCTGCTGGGCGGGTTTTTGTGGAGTGTTGTGGCCACTGGAGCCCTGCACACAGAGAGGCCGTGGTCTCTGCTGAGTAAAGTCCCTGGCAGCTAGGGCTTTCCTAAGACAGGCACCCAGGGAGCAGCAGCATCCTGCCTTGGTGGGCAGACACTCGGCCTGCAGGCCAGGTGCTTCAGGCCCGAGGGACAGCGGAGCCAGACCCCGCAGCACGCAGGATGGCAACACAGGCCGTGTGTGGCCGCCCTGCGGTTGTCCCAGCATTATCGAGCTGTTGTAATTGTGCTGGAACGGAATTAGCAGCTCGGATAAACCCCGCCCTGCGCAGGCCAGCGGCATTGTGTGGAGTACGCGCCTTTGTTCTTCTGAGCAGGGGACCCTTGGTGCTAGGGCCTGCCTGCGTGGGCACTGGGCCAGCCCCTGCCTGGACCATGGAGACCTGTGGGTGCCCAGGGCCCCACAGCTGTGCAGGAGTCCAGCTCTGACACCTCCTGGCCTCAAGCCTCCTGGCCTCCGAGGGAAAATGTGCCCCAGAGCTGGGGCTCCCCACACTCGGCTGAGGGAGGGTACACAGGCCAAACCCCCACTTGTCACTGTGCACAGTTGGAGCAGCCTGCCTGAGGGGGCCAAAGAAGCTGAGCACCCCATTTCCTGTGTGGCCAGCAGTGGCCGAGAGATGTCGGGGGAAGCTGGGGCTCAGGTCCAGTCCTGGGACCATGCTTGGCCTGGCACTGGCCAGGGCTCCGCTGCTCCAGGTCAGGATGCCCTCTCTTCCGTGGCCTCTGAGTTCAGGGGCAGGACCAGCACCCTCCTCTGTCTTGACCCCCACACCACGGCCTGTGCACATATTACCCCCACTCCGAGGCCCTCTCCAGCCTGACAGACACTGGGTCCCCAGAGCCCCACAGGACCCGCTCCGCCTCCTTACCCAGCCTCACCACACCGTGTCTGGCTCAGGGTCTACTCCAGTCCTTTGATTCCTCTACTGCCAAGGGCCTGACACTGTCCAGTGCTACGCCCCCTGCATCCTCAGGTCAGCAGGAGAAGAGGGACCCACCCAGGGACAGTACACGGTGACAGCAGCCCCACCCATGTGCCCCCAGCCAGCAGTGTCAATCCTGGTAGGAGCTGAGTCCCTGCCCCATGTAGATGGCTCTGGAGGGCAGCTGGGAGCTGGACCACTCCGAGCCTGTGATGGTCCTACACTGGGGACAAGTCTGACCTAGAGGGTGGACATGGTCCAGCCCTGACCCGGCCACAGCAAGGGATGGGGTGGGGATCACCGTTTGGCCACAGCTCTCTGTTCGTTGACTCTGCCCTCCCATGTAGGCTGGCCCAGTCAACATCCTGCCACTCAGGTGGCAGCTCTGGGGTCAGGGCCCTGTGTCCTACCCCAGTCCACCCTAGTCCTCTCCTGCAAGGCCAGCCCTGACCCGCACTCTGAGTCTCTGAGGGGGCACCACCCCAACTGACCACAACCCCCACCACCACCATTCCTTCCACCATGGGCCTGGGATGCTGTTCCAGGGGAGCTCTGGGGTACAGAGGAGGTGGGGGGGTCCCACAGTGGGCCAGGGAAGTGCCTGCCCCAGGGCCCGGGGTAGCATCGGGCTCTGCAGACCAGGAGTGTGGGAAAGTGCTGCACTGTCCCTCTGAGCCCGGAACCCCTACTGGAGGGTAGGGCCATCCCAGGGCTTTGGCTGGGGGCTGGGAGGAGGAGTCCCTTGTCCTGGTGGAAATAGTGCCCATGCCAGGGCTTTGAGCACAGTGGGGAGAGCAGAGCCACACCCTGGCTGTGCTCCTGGCACCTCAGCCCAGGTCTTGGGGATACAGTGGGTGCTGGCCTGACTGCACAGGGACAGGAGGCCAGCGTGGCCATGCCCAAAGGCCCTCACAGCTCCCCTCGGGCTGTGTCCACAGGTTCTCCTGGAGACATGGATGCCGCGGAGGAGGCCCAGGCCCCAGACACCAGCCTGGAGGAGCAGGAGACCCCAGCACCAGAGCCCATGGCTATAGGGAGACACGAGCCCCTGAGCCCATCCAGTGCAGGTGAGTCACTGCCCTTGTCCCCAGGCCCCTGTCCCTGGCCAGGGCAGGACAGGGACACTTGTGCACGTAACTTTAGTACAGGTGAGGAGTCTAAGGCACAGGGCAGGAGGACCCAGTGTGGGCCCAATGAGGGGGCATCACCGGCCTGAACCTGTGCCCTAGGTTGGAGGTGGCGACCCTCTAGAGACCAAGTGTCCACACTGCTATGACACCTTTGTGTTCCCAAGCATGCACGTGGCTCCTGTGCAGTTACTTGAAGCTTGGTTGCTGGGCAATGCTGGGGCGTTCTGTCCAGCCTGTCAACAGAGACTGTAGGTTTGCCACCACTGCCCAGGCTGTCCCACTGCAGGCTCGTCTCTGGTCCTCTGTCCTGCTGCCCTAAGCCCCTGGGCACCTCAGCTCTCGGGTCCTCTTCCTGGTGGCAGTATTTCTTCCCCAAGGAAGGCCTGGGACAGACACTCCACCTCCACAGCCTTGGACTCCAAGAGGCCTACTCGGGCCATGTCCCCTGGGGATGGTACTCCAGTCACTTCTGGGTGACTTGGACCCAAGATGCTGTGGCAGCTCTGACAGGGGCCATTAGGAGAGTGCGTGGTGGGGGCCATGACCCTGAACAAAGGCGAGGCAGGCAGTGACTTTGAGTGACCCTAGGGCCTGTGGTCACCTGTGCTGCAGCACTGTGGCAGAGGCTGAAGGATGCCAAGGTGAGGGGCACAGAGTGGACAGTGGGAGGCCAGAAGTGGGTGAGGGAGCAGCGGGTGGACTGCCGGGCAGCAGTACAGATGGGTAGAGTCCAGAGAGACCAGGCCTGGTTGATCAGGGCCTCTCTCTGGGACCTGTTACTCACATCACTGTTCTGAGTCCTGGCCCCACCTGATGGCTGCAGGCAGGAGGCCCCCTATCCCTCGGGGCCATGCAGTCGGCCTGCCCGCCCTGACCATCCCCAGAGCGGGGGTAGGGGACAGGTGCCCTTACCCTAGTTCACTAGGGACACCCACGGCCACAGGGCAGTGGTGCCTGCGTGGGCACTCGGTCAGGGCCAAGTGTCCATTATTACTGCCATCTCTGTGGCTGTCGGCCTGCAGCGCTGTGCAGCCAGCTGGCCCAGGCCAACCCCCTGGCCTTTCTGGGCCTTGATCCTCATGCCTGTGTGCCAGGTGGCGGGATGAGGGCTCCTTAGGTGCCCAGAGGCCCTGCCATCACCCGTCCAGCGTGACTGCCACTCAGTACCGTGCTAATGGCAGCACTGGTGCGAGCTGCCAAAGGGCAGTGCGCTGGCCAGTGGACTCTGCCCCGCGGCTTCCTGGGGAGCCGAGCCCATATCTGATCTTGGAGCTGGGGCTGCGCGGAGGCGGGTGGGGCCGGGACGGCCGGAGAAAACAGCCGGGCTGCACCTGGCACCAGCCTTGGTGATAACGCGTCGATGGGCCGATAAGGCATGGGGGCGTATCTACGCTGGGCGGGTCCAGCACGCCGCGCGCGGTGGCTGGAGCTCAGATGCCAGCCACTTTGATTTATAGCCAAAAATAATAGGACTTTTATATTGTGTGATTGATTTATTTGATGTTAATCACGGCCCTTATCGCGGGTATTAATAATCTGCCGGGTGCGTGACGTCACGGGGGGCTTTATGGGAGCTCATCGATTGGGGGCCTCGGTGGTTATCAGCCGGCTGGGAAAGCAAATATGCCCTTTGGGCTGGAATTGGGTGCGGGGCCGGCAGAGGGGCCCTGCTGCCGAGGAGGCCAGCCGCGGTGGCGTGCCGCTGCCCCAGCACACCTGGTAGCCGTCCTGCACAAGGTGCCATCCTCTCTACCGCCGTGCACAGGGCGGCCGAGGGTGCAAGGAGAGTTGGGGTTGCCTCCCTGCTCCCCTCCTCTGGGAGCCAGCCAGGAGGGCGGTGACTCTGGTCCTGCTTGCATGCCCTAGGCCTCAGTTTCCCTCCCGGCCACAGGGCAGACCCAAAGGCTCAGGGATACGATGGTGTTTTCCTCTCTGCAGCAGTGAATCCACCCCCAGCACCAGTGGCAGTGGCACCAGCGCACCTGGAGTCCCCAGGAGCCTCCGAGGAGATGGAGGGACCAGAGCCTGAGACACAGCCCCGGGAGGAGGCGGCCAGCCCCTGGAGCGGGCCAGGTAACCAGTGTGGGGTCCACCAGCGCCGCGTCCCAGGGCAGCTGGCTCAGGGCTGGGCCTGCTGGGAACAGGGCTACTCAGGTACTCAGGTCACCAGAGGCCCCAGGGATTGGCCTGTCCTTACATCCCGTCAGCCTTCGTGGCGGGCTACGTGGCAAGCTGTTGGCAAGAGGCGGTCATCAGTGTGGCCGTGCGTGCCCAGAGCGGGATCCTGCCCTGAGTAGTATGGAGGAAGCATTTGGAAGTTCCCGGAGGCAGGGTGTGACCTGCTGGGGCTGAAGAGGAAGCAGAGATGGTGGCACCTGGCATCCCCAGGGGACCGGGGTGTATGTCTGGGGTGGTGGGTTGGGCTCCCAGCAGAGTGGACCCCATGCAGGGTAGGAAAGGACTGGCCATGCCTGGGGTGCTGCAGCCCCTGCCTAAGCAGTTGACTCCAAGCCATTGTGGTGTATCTAGGGGCAGCTGGGATCCCAAATGTGTCCTCACCGTGACCCCTTTGAGGGCTGGCCCCCCACCTGGGAGCTGGGGGAGCTGGCAGGGTTGTTGCTGTTTTTCCTTCTTAACAAATCCGCAGCCTGGGAGCCGAGGTGGGCGGGCACCACGCACAGGAGCTGGCATGGTCCTTGGCCAGGGTGGGTGGACCAGAAAGGCTGGGCACACAGACCAGGCCAAGCAGGCACTTACTAAGCACCTGCTGCGTACGAGGCAGAGTCCTGTGAGTTGGTGTCTGCAGGGAACCAGGGCCCACCCTAGCTGAAGACTGGGAAAGGATTTGCTAAGTCAGGGGACCACTGTTCCCCTGGGACCTGCACAGAATGTGGAGCTAGCCTCCTGGCATCCACTGGGCTTTCTAGGGAGACTGCGGGACCGGGGGCCGTGTACTGGGCTGGGTCGGTGATGTGTGTGTCCTGTGTGGCTGTGGGAGACCAGGTAGCCCCCGGTTAGCATAGCCAGATCGAGAGGGAGGGTGCTCCGCCTGCCTGGCTTCCAACAGCCCTGGACTAACTCAGTTTGTGCATCTGCAGAGAGGTTGGCAAGGTGGCCTCAGCCCCAGGAGGCCCGGGCCCTGTGTGCACCACCCACCCCCACCCACCTGCTGTGTGTGGTGAGGACCAGGCAGGAGGGGGATACAAGGCCAGCATAGTGCCAACTACACTCTGGGCGGGGAGACCCTGGTTGGCGGGGGGGGGGCACATCCAGATCCCTGCTGGGAATACGTCTGGAATGTGAGCCACAGTGCCCGTCGGCCTGCTGGTTCCCATCCAGGTCCTGGTCCTCAGCCTCCTGCTTCAGAGGGAATGCAGAGCCCTTGGGCTTGGGCCTGACCTCATAGCAGCTGTGGCCATGGTTTGGGGTTGGGGCACCCCCGCTTCCTGCACTATCTGGTGACCAAGAAGCGCCCGTCAGCACCCACAGATAGGAATTTTTGTGCAGTGGGCAGCGATGGGTCGATAGGCAGCCGCCGGCCAACCGCCACGCCGGCCGCCGCCTATCAGGCCCCGCACAGCCACACTTATCACGGGGGAAGCCGCAGCCCAGCAGCGTTATCTCCAAGGGGCCACTGTGCCAGTGATGGGTGTCAGGGCTTCACGGGGCCTGCAGGGTCGGGGCCCTGAGGGCACATTGGGCCTGGCCACCTTCGCCTCTCATCTGCTGTTTCTCCCCACTCCTGTGAGCCCTACTACACCCCTTTTTGATCTCTGTAGCACCCCATGACGGGTGAATAAAGACCTCTGGCCTGGGGGTGCTGCACCTCCCCTTTGGGGGGCTGAAGGGGCTGGCTGACCAGGCTTCAGTTTCCTGTCTGTGCCACGCTGGCTGCTCAGGTCTGTCCGGTGGGGGCGGGGCCTGGTTTCCTCCAATTCCTAGGGCCAGCAGGAGGGACTTGTGGGGAGCAGGCAGGGAGGAGGCACCGCAGCCCCGTCCCTACCTGGACACCCAGGAGGCCTCCAATCACCTCCTGCGTGAGGGCCTCGAAGATACTGGAATCCCTCACCTGCCACCTAGGGACCCCAGCCCCCCTAAAAGATCAGGGCGGTGCTTGGGGTGTTGCTCTTCTCAGGAGTTCTCTGCTGGCAGCTTTGCCTGCAAGGGGAGCCCCTCGCTGTCTCTGGAGGCCGGAGGGCAGGCCTGGAGCCTCCTCCCTCCTCTGCAAATGGCCAGGAGGGGCACTGGGGGCCTCAGGCAGGTCGCCCCCACAGGGGCCGAGGTCCCTCTGGGTGGGGTGCAGGCAGAGAGGGTCCCAGATTCCTGCAACAGCCCCGAGTGCCCAGCACCACTCAGCCCCCAGGCAGGCCCGGCCAGGAAGGGGCACTGCAAGTGGCCTCTCATCCTCCTCCAGGGGATGGGGACAGCAGCAGCCCTGCCTGTGGGTGTGAGGCCTGCAACAGAAAACCTGAACTGCTCTCAACACCCAGGGGCCCCCAGTGGCTGAGGGGAGCGGGCCAGGTGCTTCCAGGACAGGAGAGGCGCTGGATGGAGGCACCTTGGACAAGTGGGAACCCAGGGTAGAGGGGTCCAGGGCTTCGTGGACTCCAGCCTGGCCTTGCAGAGGGGAGCAGGTGTGGGGCACAAGGGCTGTGAGCACAAAGGCGGTGGCCCAGGCCACCTTGGGGAAGGCAGAGCGGGCTGAGCCGCCACTCCCTTGTCTCCCCAGCCGGGGTTCTGGCTGGGAGAGGGATGCGCAGGCGGGAGGAGGCTGGGTTTATCTTTGAAATGACCTTGCGCTGCAGGCTGGCTGCTTAGCATTCTGATATGCAAATGAAGGGAGCCACAGTCTCCATCCCCACGTGGGCTCCTGGCAGGGGCAGGCACCACCTCACGCAGTGGCCAGGGTCACCCACGTGGGACCATGCCCTGTGCCTTGGGACCTGTGTCTGTGCCTCCCACCCCTGCAGAGGTCAGAAGGTGGTGGCCAGGCAGACAGGTCAGCCAACCAGGATGTAGACGGTCCCGTCCCACAGGGGGTCCTGGTCTGTCCTTGTGTCCTGGGGGTGTCTGTCCAGGGACAGTGATCAGGCTGAGGAAGGGGCCGACGCCACCCAACCCCGCCCATACAGGCTGCACAGAACTGGAGGGACCAGGACTCAGACCCAGGCTGGCCAACACCCCAGACGGGAAGGTAGCCTAGAGCCCAGTGGAACCACAACTGCCCTTGCATGTGCCCCTGGGGACACCAAGGTACAGGAGAGGCCACAGTGTCCCTACCAGGCCCACAGTTGCAGTGGCCTGAGGGGAGGGTGTGTGGGTTGAGTGTCCATGGTGAGAGGTATCCTCAACACCTGTATCATTCCAAGAACACAGGAACAGGCCCCGAAAGGCCACGTGCCATCCCACCGGTGTGGTCTCTGTGGATGGCCCTCCTGACTCAGGCCATCATGCTGACCACCCCAGGCAGGCCAGAGATCTCTGTCCCAGAATCCTCTAGTGATGAGAGGGCGTCGGGAACACAGCCTGAGCTCCCCAGAGGGCCGCGGGAAGGTGCCCAGCAGGCCGAGTCCTCCACTTGAAGCAGGGGAGAGAGTGGAGGAGCTGGCCATGCCCAGGCCCGAGGGACCCAGCCCAGAGCAGCTGCGGGTGGTGACGGGGTGCGGGGTGTGTGGGGCTCAGGCCCACATCTGTGGGCCGCCACCACCCTGTCCTTGGGGCCCTCCTGGGGATTTAGGAAGGGTTGGGACCTGGCTCAAGGACAGGCGGGGTCCTGGGGCATGTGCTAGAGGACAGGCACTTGCTATTTCCCCACTGAGCACTTGGGGACCAGAACTCCTTCCCGCCTACTGTGCCAGTGTGAGCGCTGTTTCTGTCTCAGGGCTCAGAAGCAAGGACAGAAGGCTGCACTGTCAAGGTCCTGTGGCCAGCAGAGGGGTTGCCTCTGCATCAGGATTGGTGGGGAAACAGACTGGCAGCTGTGCCAGGAACGATCTCAGGTCCTCCGGCCCGGGCCCCAGAGCAAACAGGAGTCGGGGTGGTGCCCAGGGGAGTCTCAGGCGTGTGCAGGGTCTGGGGTTCGAAAGCCATGACTGGAGCCTGCGGGCCAGGGCTCAGTGCTATGGACCGTGAGCCAGGGCCTCGCCTTTTTAAATTGGCTGTGCTGGGGCTCGAACCCAGGGCCTGGCACACACTAGGCAAGTGCTTCCCACTCAGCCGTGCCCTGTGCGGGCCTCACTGTCTTGGTTGTGAAACGTGGACACTGGTGGTTTCGGGGTGCTGGGTCGGCTGCCTGCAACAGTGGGGTGTGGAGGGGTGAGGGTGAGGGTCTGGGCCCACGGAGGCAGTACTCAGCCCTGTGCCTGCCGTGCGGCCCTGCGGGCTTGGGGAGCCCCCCATGCGGCCTGGCACAGGCTGGTTATCTGGGCCATGCGCAGTGGACTAATCTCCCAGGCCGAGTTTCCACACGGACCTCACGGCTGGTTATCAGTGGTTAAGGCAGGGCGCCTGTCCGGATGGACGGACAGCCCGGAGATGGGCCGATAGCGGCCGCCTGTGTGGTGGGAAAATCATTTCAGCTATGTTACGTTATCGCGGCCTGCTGTGGCCCGAGATGGGCCTATTTGTCTTAGATTAGCAGCCGGGGGAGGGGTGCTGGTAGGTGGAGAGGGTCAGCCTGGGGTCAGCGCAGAGGCTGGGTGGCCTCCCCTGCCAGTGCCCTGGTGGGTCCTCAGGTCGCACCTGGGCTGCACGTGCCCTGACCCTGGCTGCTCTGGCGACCTGGCTTCGGGGAGGCTGGCCCCCTGTCCACACAGCGGTCCTCCTGCCTCTTGGGGTGCTTTGTGGGGCACGGGTGTAGGTGGGGCCGGGGGCCCATCCTCTGTCCAGGAGCAGGTCAAGGACAGAAACCAGAGGTCATTCAACCAGTGCCAGCACAGTCCAGGCCCCAGGACCAACACTGGGAGGGACACTGAGACTAAGGAGCCCAGGGCACCCCAGCACCTAAGTGGCCTTGCCAAGCCAAGAGCGCAGAGGCCGTGAGGGTACGGCCAGGCCGAGACCCAGTCCCGGGA